AAAAAAACTACTATTGTTTTAAATAACACATTCAATTGAACTAAACTATGCATGCCTATTTAAATATATTTACACATGGCTTCTGTATATCGTATATATACATATATATTATTCATACCTTCGATGTATAGGACGCAACCAGATTTGGACATAAAATTTTTGGGTAAAAAAAGTACATCTTATACACTGAAAAATATGGTAAATAAATAAACTGTGTCTGGAGATAGTCATAATTAATATTTGATACAAGAAAAACATTCTTAGGACACTCCAGTTAGCATAAAAAAAGTTGAACTTGTTTTTGTCACTGAATGAATTTTTCCTAATTAATTAAAACCCTCAAAAGTAACGTTTTATGATGACTGACAAATAAAATACAAAATAATTAAAACAATATTGTAATAACTTATCAAAATGATGTCATATCTGCACTACAGATACTTATATATAAAGAGTTGAATATGTTACACTAAAATGATTCTGAATATACATATCATCAAGCCATGTGACAACCACAGCTGATACAAAGTCATGGTGGAATGGCTTTATCAGATTTACATTTTGACACTAGCATTTAGTAGATGGTGTGATGTTACCAAAAAATCATCACTTCTGGAACAGGTATATAACAGCCCTTTCCAATACATACTATTCATATGCTCAGATTACAATGATGTGTTCAAATTGGGAATTTAGATTTTCCAAGATGAAGATATTTCTTCTGCCTAGTGGCATTGGAAAAGAAAGAAATATGAATGAACTTGGGGCCCAGGATGATCCAGAAGAGAACTGCAAAAATTTGCATCCTTGATGTGGTAAGCAAAATGTAGTGACTTGTAACTTGTACAGATGAGAATCCATGAATACAAGTCAGTAGCAAAAGCTATCCATGCAATAGCATGCAACATAATCAAGAGAGATCTCCATCTGTAAGAGTGATACAGGTCAATTTTGTACAAGATGCTTCCATGACATATCTTTCATCTGTCACATATTCATGCTATTCCATATGAATATAAAACTGGCCTTTACAAAGTGAACTCTCTTAGTTGTGTTTTAGTGGGCTAGTATTTTGTAAAATACAGTCATATTTCAGTTATAATAAATTATATATATGTATATATATATATATATATTATTACTATTTACAATAAATACAGTAAATGTAGCAATATCTCAGCAAATAGAAAAGACAGAAGATTCTTATTTCATATTCTAGCTTGTCAATATTGGCAATTTTAGTTCCTAATTGATAAAAAACTATAGACTTTGTAGTTGGACATCACAAACATCTAATCTGAACCAATGCTGCATTCAACATACCACATGACACACAAAAATTGATATTTAAGTGTTTTTTATTATTTACTTTTAAATTAAGAAATTAACTAATGTATAATACTAAAATTTGAATTACAATTTCAATTTGATACTATCTTATTGACATAAATTCATAAAATAGTAGCTGAATAAATCTTTGAATGCAAGTCAACAAATGTGATGACATGGCCTTTGACCCATGATGATAGGGTTAATTGCCATAAAGAAGTATGAAAAATTAAATGATTTGTATCATTGTTTTTAAAAAGAAATTATTCATCATTATTAAAAGCATATACTAAAGAAATCATGAAACAAATCTACAATTAATATATTACTACTATGTATATGCAACTTAAACCCAATTTTCTTCAATCACAATCCTACATCATAAAACTATAAATTTCTCATAATAGACCAACAGTATCAATTCCACCCTTTGGAGAATTAAGCAGTCCTTCAGTCCAAGTTCAAAGCATGGAAGAGGACTGGAAACAAGAGTGTGGCCACTTAAAAGAACAATCAGTGCCAATTACACAGTAAGGTTTACGCTGCAAAGGCAACAGCAAATCGAGAGGACGTACTTGTAGACAAGTTAATTTATGCACTACCTGGGTTGAGGGATATCCTCAGCTCAACATTAGAAATTCTCATTAACTTATCACTTTGGATCTGACAAGTTGAGCTGGATGACAATAGCAGACCTGAAGCTCCTCTTAGCATGAGAGATGGCTTATATGAAATCTACATCATTCGCTTGGTCTGCATAAAACGTCTATCCCTTTCACAAGGCTAATGAAGCTTTCACTGAAAGGACTGCAACAAAAGAGATATCTGATCAATGTCATAACATTTTGATGTTTGGTCACACATTCCATTTTGCAGGTGAGAACCTGAGAATGGGCTTGAAACTGAAATAGGGAATGTGCTAGCTTATGTGCATGGAAATTAAGTTTCTCAGTCACAATGTATAGATAAATGGCATCTCTATGTAAGTAAGAAGTCCAGTTTCCTCAGTTTCATGTTATTTTACTGATTATAAGTAAAAGTACCCAGTCCAGTGATGGGAAAAGCTTACATTAATATATTAACTTAAATTATTTCATGGACTCTAAAAACGTTAATTGTGTTGCACTCTTGGTTTCACTCAGAGCTAAAGCTCTGTGCTATTTATTCCACCCATGCAAAATGTAAATGTTGAGCATCTCAGTCATGTAAAGAGCCATTCAACAATAACAAAGGTTAATTATATATTTTTATTCTTTATGCCACATTTTGAAATGTGAATGATAGTGTGATATTCTACAGTAAGACTACTGTAGAATATCCTGCTTGTGAAATACAATTTGGTATCAACATCATTCATGCCTCTTCTCCTATTATTTCAAAAGAGAATGTTGAGCATTGCCTGCATGCACAGCTTTTCAAACAGGAGACAGACAAATGCTCTGGCAGACACCATGGTTCAGAATATACATAAGATTTGTGACCATCTTCTTCAAAATAGCAGAACCACTGTCTGATCTCACAAAAGTCAAGATACACTTTGGATGAAGCAAGGAATGTGACCAAGTATTATGATCCCTAAAGCTTGCTTTGGTGAGTAATCCAGTGATAGCAAGTTCCTGTTAGATGCCAACACCAATGACAACAAAATCAGGTCAGAGTTGTCACATATGTATCACAGAGTAGAACATGTAATCCCATATGCTAGTCGTATACTCATGACTTCTGAACCAATAAATTGTACAATGAAGAAAGAAGTGCTGCTTGTAGTTGTGGTCTTCATTACACATTATTGCCACAAGTTGTATGGTAGGAGATTTGCTCCTTGTGATAAAAGCTTTGCTAAAGTGGCTAATGAATATAAAACATTCAAAAGGTAAGATAGCAAATTAGGTAACAATATTGCAAGAATATGATAGAAATGCAGGTGAAACCATCTCTTCTTATGGTGGAACTTTGTTCATTCATGGGATGTTCTAACCCTCGACACT